TAAACAGGCTTTAGCCCTGTGAAGGTTGATTCACATACACTCAGAGGGTATATATAGCCTTTCACTGGGCTAACCAAAGCCTTTCCTGGGTACAGGGTGGTACTTTCTAAAGCCCTTCCTCTATGGTGGGCCATATGGTCCAGTTTTTGTCCCTTGGCCTATGGTCTACTGAAAGCTCTGCTTAGAAATTATCTCCTTGTTAAATGCTAGTGAATCTAGCTCTCCATCTTTTTTCCCTCCCTTTTATAATGATCTAGTCTAGCTTTTATGATGATAGTATGTGTTCAATAAAAGTTTAATGGGTAAAGTAGTAGTAATTTATTTTACATTTTTCCTGTAGGCAGAACAGAGAAGCAAATTTCAGGCCCATGTTAGAAACTTCCCAGTTACACTCAAGGAGTGATGAAAGGGTCTGATAACTAAGTACCCATTACAAGAAATGCTCAAGGCAGAACATTGGAGTTTAAATGTTCACGTTTTAAAATCATTAGTCAGGAGATCATGGAGATGATTACAGGTTTTGCATTAATTAGGGTTAGATAACCTCCAAGTTTTCCCCATATTTTAGTTTCTGTGATTCCTGTTTTTATTTCCACTCTGATCTTGCTTCTTCTTTAATATTGTGCTTCCTGGTTTCTGACAGTGTAGCTGATCTGAATTACTGAGCCTAGGCCCTCTCAACATATCTTCATCAAGAACAGAGCAGTCGAAAGCATTGACAGTCAAAACAGGGAGAATCAGAATGAGCTCACTTTGCAGCATGACGCAGTGAATACAGGGAATCACTGATTCTTTTTAACAGAACAGTGGTTCCAATAAGGGCTTAAAAAGTGGGTAGAAGAAGATTGAATTGTCTGTGTAACAACTGACTTACCTGATTCAATGGGAGAAACACATCAGCAATTCAGAAATTTACTGTCATGTAGACAAAAGAGATAGCTCTGTTATTGCTCTTATGTATGTCTTTATTCTCATTCATTTAGTCAGCTTTGTTATGTGGGGACCTTATGACTTCCCAACATGTCACAAGTGGATTTCATGAACATTTTCTAGGGTTTGAAATAGAATGGTGTGTGCTTTTTTTTTTTTTAAGTTTGGGAAAAAACAAGCATTTAATATTTTCCAGTAACAATGAAGCACTGCTGAAGAGCATGAGGTGATAATGAGTGGATGTATGTGGGGTATGGGAGCTACTAGGAATCAGATGAGCATGCTTATGTCTGGGGTCACTCTGCAGGGTAATCAGCTCCTTATCCCTAGTTGCTATAGTAACCAGCTTTATGTTTAATTTTTTTTTTAATTCACAGGTGGTTTGTTTATGATTTTTTGTTTTTTTGCTGTGCTGGATATTGAACCCAGGACTTCACACCCTATTTTTTATTTATATCAAGGAAAGACAGCAAATTATCCACAATTAAGAAATTAAATAATTTGCATATTCCCTTCCAGATCATTTTTGTCAGAGTTTAATTCATCTAGAAAAAAAAATCTTACATATGCCACTCAATTTTTTTTAGTTATTGATAGACCTTATTTTATTTATTTATATGCAGTGCTGAGAATTGAACCCAGTGCCTCACACATGCTAGGCAAGTGTGCAGGACCCTCAGCAATTTAGGAAGTCCCTGTCTTAAATTAAAAACTAAAAAGAGCTGTGGTATGACTCAGTGGTAAAGCACCCTGGGTTCAATCCCCAGGTTCTCATTGTCTCGGGTTTTGGTTTCAGCTACTGCCTTCTGTTGATGGATTCCAAATTGTCTCTAGTACTATAAAACCCAATAGTAAGAGATAAAGTATAGTGACAACTACATATATAAGGCTACCTCTGGCCTCATCATGTAAAATGTATTAACATAAACCATTAAGTTTGTTTTAAGTGCAAAAGGCAAGAATTTTTAGATGCAAGACATTTTTGTCTGCATCCAGTACTGAACTGGTAGTTCAGGGTGTTGGGGTTTTTTTTTTGTTTGTTATTGTATTTAACTATACCAATATTATCAAATTAAAACCAATATTACATTGTATTTGTCAGAGATTGTCTTCTAGAATTTAGTTAAAGTAAATTTTAAAATGTGTTCTTTATTTTATTAGGTAATGCTAAATATTACTGAAAATCATATTAAATATGAATTTCATAATATAATATTCAATAAGAAAAGTTTTAACTTTATGTAATCTCTTCATCATATATCCTACA